GCATTCTCAGATGCTGTCCATTCCTGGGTCTCTTCCCTCCTTCCCTACTGCAGCACCTTTAAGTCAGTCATGACTTGATGGTGGCTGACTTCTAAAACTTCAGATTTTATGCTCTGTTGCTTATACTACCATGTGGAGTCTCTGTAAGCAGGGCTCCCTTCCCTCCACAGTCCTCAAAGTTCTTATCTCCCCCAAATCCTCTCTACACCTCCTACTTCCAGAAGGTGCTTGCTTTTCTACTTGTAGACTTGCAGTTTTGTTCTTTTAGGCCTCTGATTTCTTAGGTGTTCAGACTGTTTTGATAATTATCTAGCTGTGTCCATGGGATGAGGCAAGCTTAGGTTCCACCTACTCCTCTGTTATCTTAACTCCTCCTCAAATCATATTTGAAAAGGTAAACCCTGTAGTTAGACTTAAATTTCAATTCTACCTTCTGTATTTAAAAGTGATAGCATGCTTAGAACAAACTATTCTAAAATTTGTATGGAACCACAAAAGACCCCAAATAGTCAAAATAATGTTGAAAAGAAATGCAAAGCTGGAGGCATCACATTTCCAGACTTCAAGCTATATTACAAAACTGTAATCATCAAGACATGATGGTGCTGGCACATAAACAAACATATAGATCAATGGAACAGAATAGAGAACCCAGAAAAGTACTCTCAACTCTATGGTCAACTAACCTTTGACAAAGCAGGAAAGAATATCTAATAGAAAAAAGACAATCTTTCAACAAATGGTGTTGGGAAAATTGGACAGCTACATGCAGGAGAATGAAACTGGACCACTTACACCATACACAAAAATAAATTCAGGAGTGCTTGTGTGGCTCAGTCTGAGCCTTTGGCTCAGGTCATGATCCCAGAGTCTTGGGACTGAGCCCTGCATCGAGCTCCTGACTCAGCGGGGAGTCTGCCTCTCCCTCTCCTACTCCCCCTGCTTGTGCTCTGTCTCTCTCTTTTTATGTCAAATAAGTAAATAAGATCTTTTTAAAAATTCAAAATGGATGAAAGACCTAAATGTGACACAGGAATCCATCAAAATCCTAGAGGAGAACACAAGTAGCAACCTCTTTCACCTCGTCCCCAGGAACTTCTTCCTAGACATGTCTCCAAAGGCAAAGGAAACAAAAGCAAAAATGAACTTTTGGGACTTCATCAGGATAAAAAGCTTCTGCACAGCAAAGGAAACAACAAAACTAAAAGGCAACCTATGCAAATGACATATCAGGTAAAGGGCTAGTATCAAAAATCTCTAAAGAACTTCTCAAATGCAACAGCCAAAAACCTAATAATCCAGTCATGAAATGGGCAGAAGACATGAACAGACATTTCTCCAGAGAAGATATACAAATGTCCAACAGGCACGTGAAAAAATACTGAACATCACTCGGCATCAGGGAAATACAAATCAAAACCACAATGAGATACCACCTCACACTACTCAGAATGGATAAAATTAAGTCAGGAAACAACAGACGTGACTCTTAACTATATAGAATGAACTGAGGGTTGCTGGAGGGGAGGTGGATGGGTAATGGGGCAATTTGGTGATGGGCATTAAGGAGGGCACTTGATATAATGAGCACTGAGTGTTACATGCAACTGATGAATCACTGAATTCTCTCCCTGAAACTAATAATATATTATGTTAACTAACTTGAATTTAAACAAAACAAAACAAAGCAAAAAAACCCATATCATCCTACCACAAATATGAGTCAAGAATTCATAAGATAAGAGGATGTAAAGTATGACACCATATATTTAAAATGTGGTGAGGGGGAATAGAAATTTAGTTCTTTTAAGATAGGTTCAAACTTAAATGACCATCAATATAAGCTGCTATACACATAAGATATTATATACAAAACTAATGGTAAAAAAATAAAAAATCTAAAATAGATAGTAAAAAGAAAAAGAAATAGAAGAATAACACTAGAGAAAAACATTAAACCACAAGGAAAGAATGCAAGAGAAGGAGGAAGGATGAGAGAACTATAAAAACAACTGTAATACAATAACTGGCAATAAGTACTGATTATCATTAATCACTCTAAAGGCAAATGTTTTAAATAATCCAAAGACAGAATTACTGGACGTATAAAAAAGCAAGACCAGATGAATGGATAAAGAAGATGTGTGGTCCATATATACAATGGAATATTACTCAGCCATCAGAAAGGATGAATACCCAACTTTTACATCAACAAGGATGGGACTGGAGGAGATTATGCTAAGTGAAATAAGTCAAGCAGAGAAAGTCAATTATCATATGGTTTCACTTATATGTGGAACATAAGGAATAGCAGGGAGGACATTAGGAGAAGGAAGGGAAAAATGAAGGGGGGGAAATCGGAGGGAGAGACGAACCATGAGAGACCATGGACACTGAGAAACAAACTGAGGGTTTTAGAGGGAAGGGGGGTGGGGGATGGGTTAGCCAGGTGATGAGTATTAAAGAGGGCATGTACTGCATGGAGCACTGGGTGTTATACGAAAACAGTGAATCGTGGATCACTACGTCAAAAACTAATGATGTATGGTGACTAACATAACATAATAAAATTAAATTAAATTTAAAAAATAATAAAATGGTTAAAATGGAAAAAAAAAAAAGCAAGACCCATATGTTGTCTATAAGATATTCACTTCAGACCTAAAGACACACACAGATTAAAAGTGAAGGTATGAAAAAACATTTAAGTTGTAAATGGAGGGGCGCCTGGGTGGCTCGGTCATTAAGTATCTGCCTTCGGCTCAGGTCATGATCCCAGGGTCCTGGGACCAAGCCCTGCATCATCAGGCTACCTCCTCCATGGGAAGTCTGCTTCTCCCACTCACACCCCCCCTGCTTGTGTTTCCTCTCTCACTGTGTCTCTCTCTGTCAAATAAATAAATAAAATCTTAAAAAAAAGATGTAAATGGAAACAAAAAGAAAACTGGAATATAAGAAACAAAATAGGGAAAACAGTATGTAAATTTCTCAGGAAGTTAAAAATAGAGCTGTCCTATGATCGAGCAGTTGCACTATTTGGTATTTACCCCCAAATTAAAAAAAAACAAACAAACCCTAATTCAAAGGGATACATGCACCTGTATGTTTATAGCAGCATAATTTACAATAGCCAAATTATGGAAGCAGCCCACATGTCCATCAATAGATGAATGGATAAAGAAGATGTGGTTCATATATACAATGGAATATTATTCAGCCATAAGAAGAATGAAATCTTGCTATTTGCCATGACATGGATAGAGCTAGAGAGTATAATGCCGAGGGAAGTAAGTTAGCCAGAAAAAGACAAATACCATATGATTTCACTCATATGTGGAATTTAAGAAACAAGACAAATGAGTAAAGGAAAAAGAAAGAAGGAGAGAGAAAGAAGCCAAGAAACAGATTCTTAACTATTTGATAACAAACTGATGGTTATCAGAGGGGAGATGGGTTGGGGGATGGGTTAAATAGGTGATGGGGATTAGGGAGTGCATTGTGATGAGCACCAAGTGTTGTATGGAAGTGTTGAATCACTACATTGTACACCTGAAATTAATATTACACTATATGTTAACTAACTGAAACTTAAATAAAAACTTTAAAAAAGAGTAAAACTATTTAAAAAATCCACAGGATCTTATACAATTCCTATCTCCCCTGAGCCAGTTAACTTATATATACTATGGGATCACTGATATGACTATTGAGGCTTCTTGTAAAACTTCTTGCAAAGTTCCTGATACATGGTGTCTAGATATAACAAATAAGTACTAATTCTGTTTCTTCCATTTTCTTTTGTTATTTTTCATACACCATTTATTTTAAGATTTCACAAACTAGTTTTCTGAATTGAAAAGCTGAGTAATGTAAGATTTTTATTTATTCTTCTGTGTTATATTTTCTTTAGATTTTGTCTTAAAGATTTTGACCTCTCTAATTTTACCTCTAGGGATTCATAGGGGATATTTTTTTAACCAAAATTAATTAATAAATTAAATACTGTTAATTATTAAATATTTAACATGATGCTTAATAATTTTTATCTTTTGACATTTCTTGTATATCAACCCTTCTCTTCAATCTATGTAACTTCTGACAGATCATGAATTTATCTTGCATATTTCTGCTGTCTACATCCTGCTCAAAACCCTATTTTACCTATGATTATTCTTATCATCTTCCCCAATCTCCCTTGGGTTGCACATTAATTTTCAGATCCCTCTGACTCTCACCTCCCAGAGTGACCCTTTAATTTTATTTAGAATTCATTGAGATGTATAGAGTATATTTATTAGTATACTCTAATTGTATACCCATTAACTAATTATTATAGTTTTTTTCTTTCTTTTTTTAAAAGATTTTATTTATTTGACAGAGAGAGACACAGTGAGAGGGAACATAAGCAGGGAGAGTGGGAGAGGAAGAAGCAGGCTTCCCACTGAGCAGGGAATCCGATGCAGGGCTCAATCCCAGGATCCTGGGATCATGACCTGAGCCAAAGGCAGATGCTTAACGACTGAGCCACCCAGGCACCCCTATAGTTTTTTCTTAATACTTTCCATTTTAACTTGTATACTGGAGTTAAAAGTGGTTTACATATTATTTCCTCAACATATTTGTATTTCAGGGTAAAGATAATGTGAAAAAATTTGTATCTAGTAAAAATATTTTTTATTTGTATTCCCCACATAGAACCCCTTGCTTTAAGGCTCTACTCAGTAGATAGTTTTCAGTTGTGTGCATGGCCTGATGATATTGCTTGCAAAAACTAATTTGCACATATTTACTACTAAGTCTTAAAATCTGAGACAGGGTAGATGCCTTGTTTGAATAAACTTATTATGATATTCTTCTATCGATTCCCATAACAGAAATAAGTAACAAAAAAAAATAAAAATCTAATTTGTTTTTCTCCCTAAGAAAGAAAGAAAGAAAGAAAGAACAGAGTAGGCCATATTTTTATAAGGGAACATAATTAAAGTTGTTCTTACTTTTAGGGACAATTACCTTTTGCTGTAGTAGGGAGTATGGATGAAGTGAAAGTTGGAAAAAGAATGGTCAGAGGCCGTCAGTACCCTTGGGGAGTTTTACAAGGTAAATGTGATGAAAGTGAGCAGGCTTGCTCTGGAAAGTGTGTGTGTGTGTGTGGTGTGGTGTGGTGTGTGTGTGTGTGTGTGTATTCTCATAGTCTTAAAATATTTTAACTTGAGTCAATATTGGTAATTGTTGCTAAAGAGTAAATTAAGGGTTACTAATGAAGAGCATAAATTATTTTCCATTTAAGCGAATTCTTACTTTGACTATAATTCATTCTCATAAGAGTTTGCTAAGTGGTGCTTTAGACAAAAATTCACAGAGGTATGGTAGAACCTCCTCATTTACCCCAATCTGACATATGCATAGTATCTCTATATGCATAAATAATTACATTCAGAATGTTGGAAAGTGCTTTGAACAAAAGAACTTTGAGCAACATTAAAGCATAAATGCCAGTGTTAAAACCTGTTACATAAATTAATTACTACTTAATTTATAAGGCATTTTTAAGTGGTCACTAGACAAAAAAAATGGTAAACTATTTTCAAAATAAAAAAATGTAATTTAGCTTCGGAAAAATTATGCTTAAATATTTTATTAGTTATCTAACATTGTGATGAGTTGAAATACTCTAACAGGCAGTCATTTATTCTCTGGTTTATATAGTTGTAATACAAATTACTGGGGATTGGATTATTTCCACTTGTACTAGTTTCCAAAATGTTGTTTTGTTAATTGATATATTAAAAATTAAATTTATGAAACACACTTAAAATAATATATTTTAATGAATATTGAATTTGGTTACAATATCATGCACAATAAAATATATATAGTGCTCAGTAGTCTGGATATGACAAACACAGGAGAGAGCCATGTAAATTTATTGATTGATTTTAAATATTAACTAATTTGTTTTCATAAATATGGGGTATAAATAGTATTTGAGAACTAAAACATGCATAATTTTAATGCCTTCATGGTAGCAGGATTAATGAAATTATTTACTTTAGTGAAATTATATTACATTCTTTGTTAGTGTTCTGTGAAATACCTTGGGGGCAGTTTGTAAAATATTAACAATTATTACCAAAAAATTATGCCATACACTAATATAACATGTTAATTCGCTGTTTCCTATTTTTTTGGCCAATAAATTAAAGCAAATTTCCTGATCCAAAAATAAACTCTGTCTATAATAGATATGTACCATATAATCATAGTTACAGTTACAAAGAATTATATCTATTAATTATAACAATCTCTTAGCTGTTATTTTAAATGTGTTTCTCATGCATACATTCACTCAGGAATACTTTATTGGGTGCCAAGGATGGATAATGAGTGTTGTTGCTTTCTTATTTTTCTGCCTAGTGGAAAATGAAAATCACTGTGATTTTGTCAAGCTGCGGGATATGCTTCTTTGTATAAGTATGGAAGACCTGAAAGAACAAACCCACGTTCAGCACTATGAACGTTATAGGTGCTACAAACTGAAGAAAATGGGCTTTACTGATGTCAGCCCAGACAACAAGCCACTTAGGTGAGTGGAGGAGATCTTGTCAGAACAAGCTAATACGGGTGATTTAGAAATCCCTTACAACCATGAGATTCAATCATTTGCGAATGAGAATAACTGTACATTTCACATTCTGGGTCATCCTGAATTGAGAAGGATGGCAAAGGACATTGAATGTTGGATGAAGGAAAGAGGAAAAGCAACAGTAACACTGTGGAAGTCAAGTGAAAATAGTTTGAGAGCAGGTGTATTTAGATATATTTAAGAGGAATAGGATTTGTACTGCAAAGGATGACAGTGTAGTATGATCCAGGTATATCGATTTTTTAGGTACTTTGAAGACAACCAAAATTGAAACTGGCTATCTTAACTGAATTAAATTTTGAAAGATGCCTGACTTAATTTTTATAGTTTTATTTGGGAGAAGAGATGGACTTTTTAATAAAGATGTTGTGGAAACCAGATTTTTTTCGCTCTCAAAGTCAATTTAAAAAAACGAAGTATAGTTGATACCCAATATTACATTACTCTCAGGTGTACACATAATTATTTGATAACTTTATACATTATGCTATGCTCACTACAAGTGTAGCTACCATTTGTCACCATAGAACACTATTATAATACCACTGACTATATTTCCTATGCTGTACCTGTCATCCCCATGACTTATTTATACCATAACCAGAAGCCTGTACCTCCCGCTCCCTTTCACCCATTTTGCCAATCTCCCATTACCTTTCCCTTTGGCAATCACCAGTTTGTTCTCTGTATTTATTCTTCTGTTTCTCCTTTTCTTGTTTGTTTATTCATTTGCTTTGTTTTTTAGATTCCACATATAAATGAAATTATATGGTATTTTTCTTTCTATGTCTGACATTTCCCTTAGCATCGTACTCCCTAGGTCCATTCATGTCACAAATAGCAAGATTCTTTTTTTAAGGTTGAGTTATATTCTTTACACACACACACACACACACACACACACACACACAAACCCCATATCTTATTTATCCATTCATCTATTGATGGAAACTTAAGTTGCCTCCATATCTTGGCTATGGTAAATAATGCTGAAATAAACATAAAGATTCATATATTTTTTTCAAATTAGTGATTTCATTTTCTTTGGGTAAATAATCAGTAGTGGAATTACTAGAACCTATGATATTTCTATTTTTATTTTTTTAAGGAACCTCCATACTTTTTTCTACAGTGGCTGCACCAATTTACATTCCAGCCAACAGTGCATGAGGGTTCCTCTTTGCCACATCCTCACCAACATTTTTTTATTTTTGTCTTCTTGATTCTAGCAATTCTGACAGGTGTAGGATAATATCTCATTGTGGTTTGATTTGCATTTCCCTGATGATAGTAATGTTGAGCATTTTTTCATGTGTTTTTTGGCCATCTGTATATTTTCATTGGAAAAATCTCTATTCATGTTCTCTGCCCATTTTTTATCAGTTTTTTCTTTTAGTGTGGAGTCATATAAGTTCTTATATCTGATAAAAGGTTAATAACCAAAATATATAAAGAACATTTGCAAATGTTTTTCTTTAAAGATTTTATTTATTTATTTGACAGAGAGTGAGAGAGATCACAAGCAGGGGGAGAGGCAGAGGGAGAGGGAGAAGTAGGCTCCCAGCTGAGCAGAGAGCCCGATGTGGGGCTCAATCCCTGTACCCTGGGATCATGACCTGAGCCGAAGGCAGATGCTTAACCATCTGAGCCACCCAGGTTCCCCTGCAAATGTTTTTTTTTCCCATTCAATAGGTTACCTTTCCATTTTGTTGATGGTTTCCTCCACTGTACAAAAGCCTTTTATTTTGGTGTAGTCACAATAATTTATGTTTGCTTTTGTTTCTTTTGCCTCAGGAGACATAGCTAGAAAAATGTTGGTAGAAAAATGTTGACCAATGTCCAGGAGATTGCTGCTTATGTTTTCTTCTGGGAGTTTTATGGTTTCAGGTTTCACATTTTGGTATTTAATTAATTTTGAGGTTCTTTTTATATATGGTATAAGAAACTGGTCCAGTTTCATAATTTTGCATTTAGCTGTTCAGTTTTCCAGTACCAATTATTGAAGAGACTGTCTTCCCCCCATTGTATATTCTTGCCTCCTTTGTCATAGATTAATTGACCATATAAACCTGGGTTTGTTTTTGGGCTCTCTACTATGTTCCATTTTTGTGTCAGTATTATACTATTATTATTATTATTATTAGGATGCCTGGCTTTATTTTATTTTTATTTTTAAAAGATTTTATTTATTTGTTTGTTTGTTTATCAGAGAGAGAGAGAGAGAGCACAAGCAGGGGGGAGTGGCAGGCCGAGGGAGAAGCAGGTTTCCTGTTGAGCAAGGATCCTGATGTGGGATGCAATCCCAGAACTCTAGGATCATGACCTGAGCCAAAGGCAGACACTTAACCAACTGACCCACCCAGGCATCTCTGCCTGGCTTTATTTTAAATAAGAACCTTATAAAGTGGAGATTTCCCCAAATTTTATTATCAAAAGATGTGAAGAAGTGTGATATATTGAAAAGTGGTGGTAACAAGAAATCAGTAATATAATTGTTTCAAAATGCTAGTACTTTTTAGGCATACAGTCTATATATTCTTCAATACTGCACCTATTTTTTTTACATCTCATGATATAGAAATTTCTGTCTATACATGAAGAAAATGTTGGTAAATGCCCTTACATGGGACTTATCATACAATATATATTTTTACAGGTTTATTTATATTACCATTTTAATATGAGAGTATTAAAATGTTTTTTATAGTTTTCAAGAGATCTATGAAACCAAAAGACAAAAGTTCTATGATCAATGTCAGAATGAAGAAGAAGAACTGAAACAAAAGTTTATGCAGCGTGTAAAAGAGAAAGAAACAACATTTAAAGAATCTGAAAAACAGGCAAGTATACTAGTCTGGTATAATTTGTATTCACTTTTAGGAATGTTATTAATTTGGAGGGGTTTTTTTATTATGTTATATTAATGACCATACATTACATCATTAGTTTTTGATGTAGTGTTCCATGATTCATTGTTTGCATATAACACCAAGTGCTCCATTCAGTACGTGCCCTCTTTAATACCCGTCACCAGGCTAACCCAACCCCCCACCGCATCCCCTCTAGAACCCTCAGTTTGTTTCTCAGAGTCTGTAGTCTCTCATGGTTCGTCTCCCCCTCCGATTTCCCCCCCTTCATTCTTCCTTTCCTGCTATCTGCTTTTTCTTTCTTTCTTTTTTTTTTTTTTAACATATAATGTATTA